AATGTTCACTGATGACAAGCTAAGTATGAGCCAGCAGTTAGATGTGCTGCTTATTTATTCTGAAAGTGTTCTAATTGTCAGAAGGGGAATCCCAGCTCTGTAGAGATTGGGGAAACCAATATAAACTTTTATTTTACTACTTCCCCCCTTTCTATGTCAACCTTATGAAATGATGACATAGAAAACTTTTCAGAATAAGTGTATGTTTCTCTGTGGAGCTGCCCAGCACACACTGTAGTTTTGGGGATCTGAAGTTTAGGTTACCCGTCTGACTAAGCCCAGGCTAAACTCGTATTTGCCAGTGTGCCCTGAATGTGCTTAGCAAGTTACTCTTCTCTCTGTTTCCTCCTCTATCTAGTGAGAAGCCTGTGTTGTGCAGTAGTAGGTAGACAGACTCATGTCACCATGTTTACCTTACTTGGATTCAGAGATCTCCAGAGTCACATTCCTGCTTTGTTCCCCAGTCAGAGTGGTCATCTGTCAACAAAGACAGTTTTATTCCTTCCTTCCCAATCTGTATACCTTTTATTTCCTTCCCTTGTCCCATTGCATTAGTTTAAGACTTTCAGTATGATGTTAATAATAGTGGTGAGAGGGGAGGGACATCCTTGCCTCGTTCGTGATCCTAGGGGGAAAGTATGTCGTTTCTTACCATTAAGTGTGATGTTAGCTGTAAGTTTTTTGTAAACGTTCTTAATCACGTTCAGGAAGCCTCTCGTTATTCTTGCTTTGCTGATAGTTTTTGTAATGAGTGGATGTTAGATTTTCTCAAATGCTTTTTCTGCACTTATTGATAATGATCATATGATTTTTCTTCTTTAGCCTGTTTATGTGATGGATTACATTAATTGATTTTTAAATGTTGAATCAGTCTTGCACATCTGGGATAAATCACACTTGGTCATGGTGTATAATTCACAATTCTTTTTATATGTTGTTGGATTTGATTTGCTAATATTTTGTTTAGAACTTTTGCATCTATATTCATGAGAGATATTGTCTATAGTTTTCCTTTCTTGTGATGTCTTTATCTGGTTTTGATACTGCAGTAATTCTGGCCTCATAGAACAGGTTAGGAAGTATTTTCTCTGTTTCTTTTTTCTGGAAGAAATTATGGAGAACTAGTATAATTTCTTTCTTAAATGTTTGGTAGAATTCACTAGTGAACCTTTCTGGACCTGGCACCCTCTGTTTTGGAAGGTTATTAATTACTGATTCAAATTCTTTAATAGATCACAGGCCTATTCAGATTGTCTGTTTTTCCTTATGTGAGTTTTAGCTGATTGTGTCTTTTGAGGAAATTCCATTGTGGTCTGAGAGCAGATGTTGTATAGTTTCTGTTCTTTTGAATTGGTTAAGGTATGTTTATGGCCCAGAATGTGGTCTATCATAGTGAATGTTGTGAGCTTGAGGAGAGTGTGTATTCTGCTGTGGTTTGTCTCTCATGGTGTGTATGTGAGCTTGAGGAGAGTGTGTATTCTGCTGTTGTTGGATGAAGCAATGTGAAGATGTCCATTAGATCCAGTTGATTGATGGTGCTGTTAAGTTCAATCATGTCCTTACTGGTTTTCTGCCTACTCGATCTGTCTATTTCTGATAGAGGGTGTTGGAATCTCCAACTATAATAGTAGATTCATCTATTTCTCTTTGCAGTTCTATCAGTTTTTGCTTCACATTGATGCTTTATTGTTAGGTATGTGCACATTTAGGATTGTTATGTGTTCTTGAAGAATCGGCCCCTTTATCATTATGTAGTCCCCCTCTTTATCCCTGATTTTCTTGCTCTGAAGTATGTTTTATCTGAAATTAATATAGCTAATCTAGCTTTCTTTTGATTAGTGTTAGTATGACATAGCTTTCTCTATCCCTTTACTTTGAATCTATATGTGTCTTTATAATTAAAGTGGTTTTCTTGTAGGCAGCATATAGTTGGGTCATGATTTTTTTAAATCCAGTCTGATAGGCTTTGTCTCTTTATTGGTGTATTTAGACCACTCACATTTAAAGTAATTATTGATACAGCTGGATTAATATTTACCATATTTATAACTGTTTCTATAATTTCCCTTGTTTTTTGTTTCTTTTTGTCTTCTACTCTTTTTCTGTTTTTATCCTGTTTGGTGTTCTCTGACCTCCCTGGATCTGTGGGTTGGCGTCTGACATTAATTTGGGGGAATTCTCAGCCATCATTACTCTAAATAGTCTGTTCTCTTGCTTTGTTCTACTTGTATTCTTATTATACATATGTTAATTGTAATTGCCCCACAGTTCTTGGATGTTCTGTTTTGTTTCTTTCATTCTTTTTCTCTTTGCTTTTTAGTTTTGGAAGTTTTTATTGACACATTTTCAATCTCGGAGATTCTTTCCTAGGCTGAGTCCAGCCTACTAACAAGCCCACCAAAGGCATTCTTCATTGCTGTTGCAGTGTTTCTGATTTCTAGCATTTCCTATTGATTCTTGCGTAGAATTTCCATCTCTCTGCTTACCTTGTCCATCTGTTCCTGCACGATGTGCACTTTTTCCATTAGAGCCCTTTAGCTTATTAATCATGGTTGTTTTAAATTCCCAGTCTGATAATTCTAAAATCTCTGCCCTATCTGAGTCTGGTTCTGATGCTTGCCCTATCTCTCCAAACTGTTTTTTGCCTTTTAGTATGCCTTGTAATTTGCTGTTGAAAGCTGGACAGGATGTACTGGGTAGAAGGAACTTAGGTATGTGGTAGGCCTTGTTGTGAAGTTGTATGTTTGTCTGGCTAGGAATTGGGCTGTGTTTACTGTTTGCTGCAGCTGTAAATGTCAAAGGATAAAATCTCCTTTGGTGTCCTTGTTTTTGTCTTCCACTGTTTTGGGGATTTCCTCAAGATTCCTCCTCAACTAGGGTCTGAGGCCTGCAGTTCTTTCAGTTGCAATCCCCTGTTATTATACAGGAGCCCTGTTGGGGGGGAGGTAGTCTGTAGTCCTGTGGTTTGGTCTCTGTTTTTTTTTTTTTTGAGACAGAGTCTCACTCTCTTGCCTGGGGCAAGTGCTGTGGCCTCAGCCTAGCTCACAGCAACCTCAAACTCCTGGGCTCAAGCATCCTAGTGTCTCAGCCTCCCAAGTAGCTGGGACTACAGGCATGCGCCACCATGCCCGGCTAATTTTTTCTGTATATATTTTAGATGGGCTCTTGGTCGGGGTCTCGCTCTTGCTCAGGCTGGTCTCGAACTCCTGAGCTCAGAATGATCCGCCTGCCTCAGCCTCCCAGAGTGCTAGGATTACAGGCGTGAGCCACCGCGCCCGGCCGTTTGGTCTCTGTTTTAGTGAGGCTGTGCTCCTGGGCTGTGAGCTCCACCAGTGCTTTTCAGTTTTCTTTTGTTTTGTTTTGTTTTCTCCCCTTTAGGAGAGACAGAAAGGCCAGAGGAGGCAGGAGTTGGGTGTTTCCCTTCCCCTATGTGGTTAGGCTCTGGTAAAATGGTTTTCCTTGAGGAAAGAACTTTGTTAAGGATAATAGAATGCTCTGGTCATAATTTTAAATGGTTTTTTTCCCTTCCCCCTGTCAGAAGCAAGAAGAGATTGTCTCAAGTCTTCGCACTGAGAACCCAGTGGGGCTTTTGGAGGTGAAACTCAGGCCACTATGGGGACCCCTGTTACTGGGTCCCCAGGAGTTTTTCTCTTGAGCTGGTCCATGTTCGGTCTCCAGCACTTGTCAGTTCCCCTTTCCTCTCTCCAGAGTGTCTGCTCCTGGCGAGCTGCGTGTCTCAGCATCCACCTGTCTGTCTCTCTAGTTTTGGAAGCATTGTTTTTCCTCATTTATCTGATGGATGTAAGAACGGTCATTCATTTTCAGTTTGTCAGCTCTCTTCTTCTTGTGAGGATGGGAGTGGTGACTTCCAAGCTCTTTACATGCTGGACCGAAACCATAAGTCCCACTTTATCCCTTTTTAACAGAGAACTTAAATACATGAAGTAATGAATGACTGAGAAAGGATGAGTATAAGAAGTCTGTTCTTGGGAAGAAATCAGTAACCTATTAAAAAAAGAAAAACCCTGAAACATTAAAAACCTTGTGTTAGTTAGTAAGGTGCAGATGGGAGCCCAGCAGGCACAGTGCTGCCATTCACAGCCTTCCACCCCTGAGGGCCTGCATCATGGAGCTTTGCTGAGCCAAGTGCCTCGTGGTCATGTGTGACAAAAGAAACCTATTTACTTCGTGTCCTCATCTTTTTTTTGCCACGATAACAGAATTCCACAGACTGGGTAATATATAGTGAACAAACATGTATTTCTTATGGTTTTAGAGGCTGGGCAGTCCAAGGTCAAGGGGCTGCATCTGGTGAGGACCTTCGTGTTGTGTCATCCCATGGTGAAAAGCGGAAGGGCAAGAGAGAGAGGGAAGGGGGCTGAGCTCATCCTTTTAGTTAGGAACCCATTCCTGCAATAACAAACCCACTCCTGTAATAACTGCATTAATCCGCGTAAGAGGGTGGAGCTCTCATAGCCTAATAAACTCTTAAATGTCCCACCTCTTCACACTGTTGCACCGGGGATTCAGTTTCCAGCACATGCATTTGGAGGGACACATTCAGACCATAGTACTTCATTTCTCTGTTTTTGCTCATTTCTCAGCTGTGTTGACCTTTGCAATTTATGAAGTTTATTTTTGGTGGGGTTGTGCGTGGTGCCATTGCTTTCAGTTTCCCCAACAGTGACCGGGAAACACCAGCCATCCCTGTTTCAGAGTGCAGATTCTACCAAAACTAATTTTGAGATGCGTTTCGCAGGACTTTTGATGACGACTTTGAATACAGAATAGTAGGAAATGTGGGAGGGCAGTCCTCAGCCAGGAGAGATTTCTGTAAAAATCCAGGACTCACATCCTAGAGTCGGGCTTTCATGCGAGCCGGGATGGAGCTGCCTGGTGGCCTGAGCACGAGGCACGCAGTCTGTACGCTCTGCGGCGGCAGTGGTGGTGTTGGCTCACCTCCCATTTCTTATGGCACTTTTTTCTTCGCTTTCTTTCAGTATTTAGGTCAGTTAACATCCATACCAGGATACCTGAATCCTTCCAGTAGGACTGAAATCCTGCATTTCATAGACAATGCAAAGGTAACCCTCCCTCTTACCCCTGTGCCCTGTCCCTTGGCCTCTGTGAGTCCTTGGTCCCCTTACTCTTGGCCTTGTGGCTGTGGGGGAGGACCCAGTCCTGTCACATTATGGGTGCACTTGGCTCTTGGCTCTAAAGACTGTTCTTCAGTCTGAACATTAACTTTATTCTCCTGACTTGCTCCACATAGTTTTGGGCTATTTCCAAAATTTACACTTTCGAGATATTCTAAACCACATGCTGTAAGTCTGAATGTAAAGGCAGTTCCAGAAGAAGCCTCCAACTAGTTGAATGCATCCCTGGAGTAAGCACCACTGTGCTGAGGGGAACAGCGCTCACCTTATTCACTTAGCGCTGGTCACGCGTGGCGTTGGCCTGCATAGTGCTCCCAGGAGAAGAGCCCACTGCCGGCCCGCAGCTGCGTCCAGCATTTCTGATGCCGTGTGTTTCCTTCCAGAGAGCCCACCAGCTTCCTGGACACTTGACTCAGGAGCACGATGCTGTGCTCAGCCTGTCTGCCTACAACGTCAAGCTGGCCTGGCGGGACGGGGAGGACATCATCCTCAGGGTGCCCATCCATGACATCGCTGCCGTCTCCTACGTTCGGGATGACGCCGCACACCTGGTGGTCCTGAAGACAGGTAGGAGCCTGGGAGGTCCTAGGTTCCACTGAGCCAGTGGCAGGGTGTGAGGGGTCACAGTGGGTCTGCTGGGACCACACACCATGTTTCAGGTAGCCGTGAGTGCTGCCAGTACTCACTCTTGGAGCCGTGAGGTCACCAGCTTGGGTGAGCTCTGAGAACAGTCCACAGAGAGCCTGTGAATCTGGCTGGGATTGCTGTGGTCACAAATCATATAGGTGGCTCTGGACAGGTTCATAAAGGTGGCTGCTGCTATTTGGAGCTATTTAGCTTGCTTGCTTTGTGCCAGCTCTGAAGCCCTGTGTGTAGTTTACACTCACAATTCAATGTGGACTTGTCAAATTCCGTGTGCTCAGTAGCCCTGTGGCCAGTGGCTGCCTTAGGGACAGAGTAGTGCCCGGGATCTCACCGTGGGGCTTGTGGAGCTGTCCCCTACCGAGCCCTTGTCTACCCGTGTACCTGCCTGCATCTGGCCTGCAGCTGGCCTGGTTCTCATTTCCCCAGCAGCTTCCCAGTTCTGCCTTTCTGTCCCCGCTGAGTTGGGCCTGGCACTAGGGGCACTTCCAGGCTTTGCTTCTAGCCCTGAAGTCCTCCCAGGTTGTGCTAGCTCTTGGAGCCCTGCTTTCTGGACAGGGGCCTCCCTCCTGCCATTGGGCAAGCCTGGAGTTACCTGCTGTGTCACATGAGAACCTCGTTTATCTGGGGAGGCCCTGCGTAGGGCATTAGGAACAGGGGCACCAGGGTCTGACCATCTAGATTGGCACGTGGACTTTGCCACTCACACACACTCAGGCCCAGCCTTTCACCCCTCGACCATGCCTCAGTTTACCCATTTGTAAGAAGGGAGTGCCTTCGGCCGGAGTGCATGGAAACCTCCTGGTGGTGGACTATTCTTAGGATTGTTTGTGGTCTATTGTATATAAACTTGAACCGTGTGAAATTGCAGGGTGACACAAGCCCTGGTGCCCTAGAGCTCAGGGCTTACCTCTGTTCCCACCCTTGTTTATTGAGGCAGGGGAGGGGAGGAGACCTGCCTGGAGGGTGTGCCTGGTGCAGGCCTGTCAACCAGGTCTTTTGGCAGACACCTGAGCCAGGTAAAGGTCCCCTGAGCAGCACTGTAAAAGTAGCCCCAGCTGGGGCCTCAGGTGTCCTCACACTTGTCCTCTTGCACTAACCTAAGATGGTGTTGACTTCTCAGCCCAGGACCCAGGCATCTCCCCCAGCCAGAGTCTGTGTGCAGAAAGTTCCAGAGGCCTCAGTGCAGGCTCCCTGTCAGAGAGCGCAGTGGGGCCGGTGGAGGCATGCTGCCTCGTCATCCTGGCTGCGGAGAGCAAGGTGAGCCCTCCCAGGCCCCGCCCACCCCTGGCCAGGCCCCGCCGCTGGCTCCGCCCAGACCCTGCTCAGGACGGGGCCAGGCCCCCGTGCCCTACCTGGCCACGCCCAGTGCTGCCCGGGGCCCTGGCCCTAGCCAGTCCCTCCCCTCTGCCCAGCTCTTTCCCAAGCCCTGCCCCTACCCTGGCCCTGCCCACAGCTCTGCTCCGCCCATGGCCACATTCCAGGTCCCGCCCAGGCCCCTGCCCCCAGCCCCTCCCACCCTCAGCCACATCCCTGAGACTGTCACAGTCCCTGAGACTAGCACCACTGGCACTGGTGGACGTTTTGCTCATCATTCTTCTCTCTAAGTTGCCTCCCCCTACTCTCATGCTGATGGGAGTGGGTGGTCGTGGCCACCTGCGTGGTGACCGCATCCCAGACCTGCCTGGTGTTGACTGTGCTTGCAGATTCCTCACAGCCTGGAAGAGCCAAGGGCTGGGCATTTGTGGGTTTGGGGCTCCCCTCAGCCACCCAGAGGGTCACTTAACAGCTTTCTGTTTAATTTCTACACCTATAAAATGGATAATAGTGACCTTGCACCTTACATATCCTCTAGTCAAAGTTTCCCAGCATTGGGACTGTTCCCATCTTAAACCTCTTTGTTTGGAGGGCTGCCCTGTGCATTACATGTATGGAGAGGCATCCCTGGCCTCTCCCCTTGTGACAACCAAAAAATGTCTGTAGGCATTGCCACACACCCCCCGGTGGGATGCAGAATCACCCCAGATGAGAGCCCCTGCTGTAGACAGCACACTGTTACGAAAGCATTTACAGTTGCTAGGAACGCCTCTGGGTGGGCTGTGATCCTCGTGGTTCTTCTCTCCCCTCCTTCCCAGGCTGGGGAGGAGTTGTGAGGGTACTGACAGGGTCAGGTTAACGGGAAGAGGAGGTGGGGCAGGCAGCTGACACCTGTGCCTGCACAGTCCCCTCATACCTGCAAGGCCACACCTGGGCCACCATCCTAGATTAATCCTAATTGGCTGGGTCTCCTTTTTGACACCCTTTTGGGCAGTGAAAGGCAGAGGGACACTTGGTTCTGGTGTCATTCATATTTATTGAGCACCTGAGACATCCCATGTGCCCTGGAAGTGGCCCGGGAAGGTGTGGTCCCCAGCCCTGGCCAGACTGATGGAGCAGCTGCTGTCCCCCCACTGCAGGTCGCTGCGGAGGAGCTTTGCTGCCTGCTGGGCCAGGTCTTCCAGGTTGTTTACACGGAGTCCACCATCGACTTTCTGGACAGAGCGATATTTGACGGGGCCTCCACCCCGACCCACCACCTGTCCCTGCACAGTGGTACGTTGGCGAGCGCGGGCAGGAGCAGGGGCAGGAGGGACTGCTGCAGTGGCCCTCACTGCCCTGTGAATGACACCGGGAACAGTTAGCAGTTACTGTGGTGATGTGTGTGTGGCCCTTTGTTTCCAGACTTCACTGTTCATACAGGTCCATAGGGTTTAATCAAGGCAAAAACATCACCCCTCCTTCAGGGAGTTGTTTTGAGCATAAATGCTGGGCCAAGATATGGTAACTTCCTGGCGTAAGTTTGGGGGCCATGAACGCTTTCTCTGCAACCACACGTGGTTAACATCGCTTCACCTAACTCAGAACAAAGACAGGGCCGGGAGAAGGCTCGTAGCAGTGGGGAATGTTAGAGAATCGAGGAGGCTAAGAGGGGGTCTGGGGAACCTCCCTGTCGGCACGCCCCAGACCACGGCTGTCTGCAGCGTGAGGGCTCCTGCTGGGGCTGTGGCCAGATGCATGGGGGCTGCTCAGGCTGCCCTGGGAGGCCAGCCGGTGGCGGAGAGTGGGGAAGAAGTGAAGGAACGTTGAAGGCTACACAGCCGGACCAGCGCCCAGAGCCACCACCTCCTGCACGCCGCACATAGGCTGGTTATGGAGTGGTTTCAGGAACCCGTTAGTCCATACAGAGTCACTTCGTTATAGACAAGCTCACTTGGGCTAAATCTTCTGAACACCAAGATCATCTATTTTTCAAATATATTGGTTATTGAAGATTAATGGTTTGCATAAAAGGAAAGATACTGGAAATAGTGCAGCTTATTGCCTTCAGTTTCTTCTTTTTATGGAGGTAAGTCCCAGCCCTCTAGCCCTTCCCACTAATTCTCACATCTCAGCCAAGGGGGTAAACAGTGGAGAGGCTTGGAGAAGCCTGTGCCTGGTGTGAGGGCAGCAGTCAGTGTCTCCTCCCTTTTTCTGGGCCAGACCCTGTGTGGGCACCTCACGCCCTGCAGAGTCGCCGAGCACTCAGGCATGCTCTTTTTTTTTTTTTTTTTTTGAGACAGAGTCTCACTGTGTTGCCCGGGCTAGAGTGAGTGCCGTGGCATCAGCCTAGCTCACAGCAACCTCAAACTCCTGGGCTCAAGCAATCCTCCTGCTTCAGCCTCCCGAGTAGCTGGGACTACAGGCATGCGCCACCATGCCTGGCTAATTTTTTCTATGTATTTTTAGTTGTCTGATTAATTTTTTTCTATTTTTAGTAGAGGCGGAGTCTCGCTCTTGCTCAGGCTGGTTTCAAACTCCTGAGCTCAAACAATCCGCCTGCCTTGGCCTCCCAGAGAGCTAGGATTACAGGCGTGAGCCACCGCACCCGGCCTCTTTTTTTTTTTTTTTTGAGACAGGGTCTTGCTTTGTCACCCAGGCCCAGGCGATCATAGCTCATTGCATTCTCCAACTCCCAGGCTCAAGCAATCCTCCTGCCTCAGCCTTCTGAGTAGCTGGGACTACAGGTGTGCACCACCATGCCTGGCTAATTTTTGTAGAGACAGGGTCTCACTGTTGCTCAGGGTGGTCTTAAACTCCTGGCCTCAAGTGATCCTTTCTCATCAGTGTCCCAAAGTGCTGGGATTACAGGTGTGAGCCACTGCACCCAGCCTAGGTATGCTGTCTGTCTCATTTAGTCCTTGACAACCCAGTGAGATAGGTACAATCCTTATCCCCATTGTAGAGATGGGGAAGTTGAGGCTTGGAGGTGAATAACTTGTCCAGGGTCCCATGAATAGCAGATGGTTTATCGAGCTGTAGTTAAACATTGAATTTTAGTGTGATTGGTTTGGTCCTTGTGCATTAGAATTCCCAAAAGGGTCTTTTTTTACTTTATGTAATAAATGTTTTTACTGAGTACACAGATGATAAATATGCAGGTGAGTGAGTTTTCGCAAAGGAAGCATGTGATGTAACACTGCTCCTCGGGCTCCTTCAGTGGGCTTCCTGCCCCACCAGCCTTATCCCAGGACCTCTCCATGGGATTCACACATGCCTGTGCACACGGACGTCACACATAACATGGATGTACACATCCTCTGCTTATTTCTGCCTCAGGGCTTTGCCTGCTGTGTTAGTTCTCCACTGCTGCTGTAATAGATCACCAAAACTTAGCAGCTTAAACAGCACAAGTCTTTCTCCTACAGTTCTGTAGGTTAGAGTCCAATGTGGTCTCAGTGGGCTAAAATCGAGATGTCCACAGGGCTGGTTCCTTCTGGAGGCTCCAGGGGAGAAGTCATTTCCTCGCTCCCGGAGGCGGCCGCGTGCCTGGGCTCTCCGCCCTTCCTTCGCATGCACAACCAGCCCCGTGGCATCGCCTGTGTCATCTTCCTCTGATGCTCAGCCTTCCTGTCCCGTGTTTCAGGCCCCTTGTCACCACGCTGGGCCTGCCCACATAACCCAGGGTCATCTCCCTATTTCAAGGTCAGCTGGTTAGCACCCTTTGCCCCCTATGCAACATGTTCACAAGTTTTGGAGATTAGGGTTGATAGCCTTGGGGCCATGATCCTGCCTGCCACGCTGACCTCGTGTCCACTGCTGGAAATGTCTCTCTTCTCTCCCGTCCTCTCCCTCCACTCCCAGTTAGTCGGACACCCTCCCCAAGACTCACCCGCCTCTCTTAACGCTTTTACTCGCTGCCGTACTAGTGTTGGAATGTCCCTTTGCGCAGGTTTGGAATAACGAACTACAGTCTGTCATAGACATAGTCATAGACCTAGTGTCACTTTTTGAATGTTACCCAGGTAGCTGCTCTGTGTAGACCCTTCACCGATCTGGGGGTCTCGGGAGTCCTGAGGCCTCGGCTGTGTCCAGGCTTGGGGTCAGACTGCTTGGTTCTGACTGACTTCTGCTGTGTGAGCTGGGTCAAGTTGCATAACCTCTCTGACTCAGTTCCTCATGCTCAAGTGAGGATGGGCGACAGGTGTGTGGGTTAAAGAAGACAAAGCCCACTGGTCCCAGTGCAGTGGTGTTTACAACTAATTGAGCACAACCAGTTACAGATTCCTTTGTTCCTTTTCCACTCCCACTACGTCACCTGACTAGCCTTAAAAAAAAATCATTAAAAAAAAAAAGAGACAAAGCCCTGCCTGGCACATAGCCCCAAAGGCAGCTTTCCCTGGCTTTGGGCACGGGCGATTCCTCCGTGGACTCCAGCCGCAGCAGGACGTGCATTCAGCAGGATCCTGGGGAGGGGCCTTTCCCTGGGGCACACAGCACTTTCCAGGGCACGGTGGCTCAGTGACGAAGGACTGCAGGGTCCCTGCTGGACTTGAAGTGCTTCCTCCTCATGTCGTCTTGGGTTTCTACATCTTCCTTACAGATGACTCTTCTACGAAAGTGGACATTAAGGAGACATACGAGGCAGAAGCCAGCACTTTGTGAGTACACGTGCCCTGAGCCCCAGGGTTGAACAAGCATCAAACACGCTGCCTGAGGTTGTCTGGGCTCCGGCCAGTTGGCCCCCAAGCTTATGTGGGCTCTAAGCTCACGCCGTCTTTGCTGAACCCAGCACCCTAAACTCACCACTCCCTCCTGGTAGGCTTCTAGAGCCCTTGCCCTCCCTCTGGTCTCTCCCTGCCCTGCCCGCCTTCCTGTGTCCTCTGGAGTGACCTTATACGGGTCACAGTTGATGGTGTCTTTCCTCTGACCAAACCTGCTGAGACTCTGGCCTGCCAGCCCCATGCCTGCCATCTGTCCCCTCTGTAGCAGCTGAGACCATGCTTTCCTTTCCTGCCACCCCTCCCTGCCTGCCCGGCTCCAGGCACTTCCCTGACCAGTCTGTCCCCTGGGCCTCCCAGCCCGTTGCCCCCAGCAATACTGCCCACCCCCTGGCCCACGCATTCCCTCCCTCCCTTAACGCCTGTCTGAAAGCCACACCTTTGGGGAGCCCGGGAACAGGCCAACCTGACCACCCTCCACACCTGGCCAGCTCCCCTTTTCTCATCATTTTTGTCATCCTCGTCATTGTCATCATTGGCCACTTACATTTCTCTGCTTAAGAGCAGGGATCTGCGCACACCTGGCACTGGTTGGGCTCCCCAAAACCCGTGTGGGAAGGAGGGGTCGGACGCCGCCTGCCCACACGCTGCATTCCCTTGCAGCGCCTTTCCGGACTCCGCGGATGCAGGCGGAGTGTCGCCGTTGTCCTTCTACATTCAGCCGTTATCCCATGGCAAGACGGTCAGTGAGAGTGAGCTGAGCGCCAGCGCCACGGAGCTGCTGCAGGACTACATGCTGACGGTAGGCCTGGGAGAGGGAGGGCAGGAGGCGGTGCTGGGACAGGCTTCTTCCCCCTTTGGAGTGGACGCCTTGGGCACACCGGTTGATCTTGCCTACATCGCCACTTTTTCCCAGGGGCCGGTCTGGGACAGCACCAGTTGGTGGGGCTGGGGTGGAGGTGCTGCGGCCGTCGCGGCTTGGACCACGGTCCATGCCTGAGTCCCAGGAGGTAGGGGACGGTGGGCCCCGAAAGGCCACCAGCCAGACGCTTTCTACCCGTCAAATGAAGTTTTGTCATTGAAAGATTTGTCTTCCTGATCTGCATGTATTTTGTGCCCTGAAGGCATCAGCGTTGGCCCTGGGCCCCAGGTCACCAACTTCCCACCCCCACCCTGCTGACTGCTGTCCGGGCCCTGCCTGCCGCACACTCTGGAGAGGGGCTGGCATTCCAGCTCAGGAGCATGGAGCTGCCGGGTGCCTCCGTCTCCTCGGGGTAGCTCCCACAGCAGGCCCGACAGGACGAGGACACGTTGTGGGCATTCTGACCCCACAGCCGGTGCAGATGTGGAGCTAGAGGCAGCCAGCGTGCGCTTGGCGGGGGCTTGGCACACGGGTGTGCGGCTGTGTCCATCGTGCTTGCTGTGGGAGCTCCGCCCGGGATTGGCGGCTATGGCAGGGTGGGGCAGGGCTGCCAGGTCTCACCCGCTATGCCCAGCCCCGCACCTGGCTCTGCTCTCTTGCAGCTGCGCACCAAGCTGTCGTCGCAGGAGATCCAGCAGTTTGCGATGCGGCTGCACGAGTACCGCAACGGGGCCTCCATCCATGAGTTCTGCATCAACTTGCGGCAGCTCTATGGGGACAGCCGCAAGTTCCTGCTGCTCGGTGAGCTGGAGCCTGACAGGGTGACCGGCCCAAAGCTTGCTTGGGGAGGCTACCCCCTCCTGGGAATGTGACCCTGGGTGGGTGGGGTATGGGCTCCATCAGGGATGGGAGGTTTGAACCAGAGATGGTCGTCAGAGTGCAGGCTCGAGGCCAGGGGACCTGCCGTGACGACTCAGGGGGCTCTTCCCACGGACTGCTGGGGGCCATCAACAGTCCTTCACTCTCCCGGGAGCCCTTGAGCTGAGCTGGGTGGGTGGGCCCTGCCAGGAAGCAGCAGAGCGTTCCGGGAGCAGGGCTGGGAGAATGAAACCCTGGGATTTGGAAGGCGTGCTGCAGCGCAGTCGGGGAGGCGTGGTTTTGGGGACTGTGTAGGAGTTTGATGGGCGGAGGCAAAGATGCCTCTTTACCCAGCACGTGGAAGGACTGACCTTTGCCAAGACCCTCGAAGAGCTCACCACATTAGATCAGAGCCGCTAGTAGGCTGGGTGGTCTGGCCTGCCTCAGACAGCCGGGACTCGGCCTCGCGACGTCTGCCTGGCAGAGTCCCTGTCAGCCCCGCACGTTGAGGGGATGGTGACTTAGCTGTGGTTTCCCCTTCTGCTGACACTCAGAACATGGCGAGTTGGTGGTAGCTAGTTGAGGGCTCCTGAGTCCTGAGCCTGTGCCCTTAACAAACCAAGGAAGGTGGGTGTGTTACCCTCATCCCGGCCGGTGAGCTCACAGGAGGATGGAGGGCGGCAGGCTGGGGCAGGCTGGCTGTACGGCGGGCCCTGTCTAACTGGCACCCCACGCCTTCCATGCTCGCACCTGTGTCTCCTCCGGGCATAGGGCTCTCCTGCCCACCTGCAGCAGCGGGTAGAGGTTCTGAGAGACACCCGCATGGGAAGGCGGCCTTCTAAGTAAGTGTGGTCACCCTGTGCTGGGCTGTGGCAGGGAAACGGCGAGTTTTGGTATGAGGCCTTCCTCTGAGAGACTGCACCCTCATTGCTGGGTGCCAGGAGGCAGCTTCAAGGACTGCTGCGGGCCTCAGCTTTCTCACCTGTAAAATGGGAGCTTTGTGAGGACTGATAGAGAATGAGAGGAGGTCATGGATGCCTGTGTTGGCGCCCCGAGGCCAGGAAGGGCGGGTGTGCCGGAAGCAGTGAGCTGCCCAGGGCCTGCAGTGCCTGTGGGAGTTGGGGACTTAGCCTGATCACCTGGCCAGGGCACATGTCTTCAACCTCAGTAGATAGACGTGGTAAGCATGGTGTCAGGTCTCCCAGGCTGTGCACCGAGGGGCAACTGCGGCCCTGTCCAGGGCTCTGAGCCCTGGGAGCAGAGCCGATCAGGCCGAGCCCACCTGGAGGCGCCATGCGGCATGTCTCGTGTCTGCAGGTCTGCGGCCCTTCATCCCGGAGAAGGACAGCCAGCACTTCGAGAATTTCCTGGAGACCATTGGCGTGAAGGATGGCCGTGGCATCATCACCGACAGCTTCGGCAGGCACCGGGGGATGCTGAGCACCACGTCCAGCTCTACCACCAATGGGAACAGGGCTGCAGGCAGCTCCGACGACCGGTCAGCACCCTCTGAGGGGGACGAGTGGGACCGCATGATCTCGGACATCAGCAGTGACATTGAGGCGCTGGGCTGCAGCATGGACCAGGACTCAGCGTGACAGGTGGCAGGCAGGGGAGCACCCACACCTTCTGCACAGTTCTCCCAGGCCTTCCTGGGAGGAGGTGACCGGACCTGCGTGTCAGCCCTTCCTGCTTGCTGGAGGCTGGGGAGGAGCTCCAGGCACAGGTGGCCCCGGCGGCCCAGGTCCTCCACTGTGAAGGAGCCAGGAGTTGCCTAGGGACACACACCCCAGTGCTGGGTGGAAAGCTCTGGGCCTCGTCCACGGGGGCTCTGCCAAGCCCCGCACCACGTACCTGTTTGGGGAGGGCCAGGCTGAGCTGGCAGGGAGAGCCACTCCTGTCAGACAGGGCCTTGGACAACTGTCAGTTTTGCACATGATGTTCCTATTGTAACTCTCAGAGACCTTAAAAAGAAGTTTACTGCAATGTGAATAATTTAATCTCTGGTTGCTAAGCATGTTTCTGATCCATTTGGGTAAAAGCCATGGGTGCCAGGAAGGGTGTCCATTCTGGCCTCTGTCCCTGGGGCCACATCTGCCCTGCAGTGCCTAGGGCTGGGCACAGTGGTCGCAGGGGGCTGGGGTTGAAGAGGCAGCAGGCTCTCGTGCCACAGGAAGGACTCGGCTTGGGCTTTGGCTTTATGGATGTGGGACAGGAGCAAGTGTTCTGGGGCCTCTCATGGGTGGCAGGGATTCCTTGATCATTATGTCCCATGCACAGAATTCTCTTAGGACCCTGGCCGTGCCTAAGAGCCCCTCTCCCCGCACCATTCTCCTGCTGACCGGAGTGCCATCTGCGAGACCTCTTCATCTTGGGGCCCAGGGTCCAACTCCCGGAGAGTCCAATTTGCTCCTCTGCTGCCCCTCCCCCTGCCCTTGTCCTGTCCCTGAGCCCTTCCCCTCAAGCCCTGTTGGCTCCAGTCTTGCCTTTACCCTTTGGGCCCCTGCCAACCTTCCTGGGGACATGTGGAGGGGTGGGGGGAGGTAATCTGGGGCAGGGTGTCCTGGGCCTCTCCTTCTACTAGAAAGTGGCCACACCCCTGCTGAGACCCCCAAGGGCACATCCAGGAAGCCCCCAGGCTGAAGAGACTGGACGGTCGCATGCCCCTCCTGTCCAGGCTGGGGCCGTGTCCTGTTGGGCAGGGGGCCCAGCCTGGGGAGGGAGGAGGCAGAGCCCCAGGGGCTGATGGATTCCCCAGCTGCATACAGGCCAAGCCAGCGGGTCCAGAGTGTCCCTCAGGCACCTTCCAGAACAAGGTGGTTGGGTCTGTGTGGTACCTCAGCTTTAGGGAGGAAGGTGGCCAGGACAGTGTTTATAGGGAGAATTCCTCTGTCCTGGGCTGTCCTAGAGCTGTTCGCTCGTGTGCCGGGCCACAGAAGGCAGAAAGGCTCTTTGTTGTTGGGGTCGTCTGTTAGGTTTACCTGCAGACGGGCCTCCTGGAAGCACCAGGAGAGACTGAGGACAAACCAGAAAGTCCCCTGGGCCCCTGCCCCTACCAGAGCCCACCCTGTGCCAGAGTGGGTCACGGTGCCAGCCCAGCCTCTGCACACGCTGAACTCGGCCCTTTGTGGGCCTTCTACGTGGAGAGTCACAGGAGCCACACCAGGGTCCCCGTCCTGGATGTGGCCCCACACTGTGGATCGCTGGGCTTTGCCAGCAGAAAGGGAGAGGGTAGAGGACACGGAGCAGAGCTGGGCCGAGGGGACGCCAGAGGGCAATGGGGGTGCCGGGGGCAATGAGGGGATGGCGGATCAATGAGGGGGTGCCAGGGGATGATGAGGGACTCCAGAGGACGATGAGGGGACAAAAGTTTAATAAGGGGACATCAGAGGGCGATGAGGGGACACCAGTTTATTGAGCAGCAGAGCTGGGGGAAGGGGCAGGATGGACCCAGCTTGAGGTCAGCAGCTACATGGTCAGTTCCTGCCAAGAAACAGAAAGAGAGGGTCATGTTGGGGGAAGTGCCACCACCCCCAGCAGAACCAATAGCAGTTTCTCTCTGAGGCCCTCAGGGGCAGGGAAGGGGCCGGTGCTTGCTCACCATGATGGCATTGACGATGTCACTGTGGTTGTCTCTCAGGGCCCGCACAGCCTTGGCCCTGGACACATTGGCTTGGGCCATCACCAGCTCGATGTCACGCAGCTCCAGCCCTGCCTCGTCCACCTGGGGTGGGGGGAGCAGGGAAGTGGCTGGAGCTGCCTGAGGCTCCTGGGCCAGAGCCCTTCCCTGGAGGCAGGGCCCCCAGACAGACCCCGCCCCATGCAGGGTGCTGGAGCCCCTGGACCTCACCTCCTCATCCTCCTCCTCTTCTTCCTCCTCACACTCTGGCCTCACCCGGGGCCTGGGTGCTGACTCAGGGACCAGGGCCGAGGGCTCTGATGGCACCTTGAACTTCTCGGCCGCAGCTTTGTGCACTTGCTGGGACAAGTCCTCAATCTGCCGCAAAGGAGACAGCTGTGTCAGCAGAGCCCACACACTCCCTGTCCCCCTGTCCTCCCCATTCTGCCACAGCTATGGCCCGGACAGACCTTGGCCTCACCGAAGACCACATAAGTGTCCGAGGCCGGGCTCTTGAAGACGTCAGGCTTGGCGATGACAAAGAGGATGTTCTTGGACTTCTGGATGGTGATCCTGGTGACTCCTTGAATCTGCCGCAAGCCCAGCTTCGACATTGCCTGGGAGCAGAGGGCAGAGTCGGGCTCTGAGCTGGCGTCAGCCCGAGTCGGGGGAGGAAGGCAGCACAGTGCCCAGGAAGGCAGAGAAGGGCTCTACCCGAAACTTCCCAGTGACCCTGGGGGGTCGGTCCTTCCCTGTGTGCAAAAGAGGGCTGGCCTCAGTCTGTGAGGCTGTCTGAATGTCCAGCCTCAGCTGTTTGAGAGCAGGTGTGTGGGTTACTGGCATTGACTCAAAGGCTCCTGATGGGTGGGATTTCAGTAGCCATGGAGTGTGAGGGGTCTTGGTAAGGATGTTCCCCTACGCAGACAGTCCCAGTCCTGGGGTCCCAGCAGAGGGCCCCCAGCCCACCTTTCGGGCCTTCTTCTCACTGCGACTCTGCTTGGCTTTGGCGATGGTCTCCTCGCTGCTGCCTGTCGGGGCCTGGGGAAAGGTGAGGGCTGAGCATCTGTGGGTAGGTGTGGAGCCCTCCCAAGGGCCCACCCTCTCCCCTGGACAGGGCACCTGGGCTGGGCACTGCGTGGTCTGAGGTGCCGAGATGTCCTGCTCGTCCAGCTCTGCTGATGACTCCCCGTGGCTGTCTGAGTGCTGGCCTGAGCCCAGGGCCTGAGGTGAGTCTAGGGAAGGGGACAGGTGTGAGGATGGCCTCTCTCTCCTAGGGGCAGGGCCTGGCAACACTGCCCTGCTGCTACATCAGGGCCAGAAAAAGCAGTGCTGGCTCTCCATGATGGAGCGTGGGGTCTGGGCCCCCCCACCAAGGTCCTCTAGCCCAAGACAGCAGCGCCAGCCCTGGGGGCCCCACCCCATGCTCTTCCTCACCTTCCTCCAGGCTGTCCTCGTCCTCTTGCTGCTCAGAGGCTGGGAGCTCTTGAGGGTCAGCTGGGCTCCGGGGCCCAGAGCACGGAGGCACTTGGCAGGGGGGCAAGATCCGCAAGGCCAGGTCTTTGGCTTCTGTGGGGGCTGCCCTGGGGCTGAGGAGGGGAGAGTGGGGCGAGAGGCTGACCCGCTGCCCAGTCCCTGGAGGCTGTGAGGTTCCTGAGACAGCAGCAGCCGCTGGCTGGGCTCCTGCCTGGGGCGGTGGGAGGCCTGGAGAACCTGGGGGCTCCTCGTCCTCCATGGAGTCTTCCTGGGGGTCCTGGCACAGGCAGGGGGCAGGGGGCTCCAGTGGGGGTGGGGATGCCCTGGCAAGGACGCCAGGAGTAGAGGTGTCAGGGCCCGGGAGCCTGTCCTGGGGTGCACTGGGCAGGCCCCTGGCAGGGCTTTCTGGGGGCTCTGGCGAGGAGGGGCTGACGGCCCTGGATGCTGCCTGGAGCTGCTCGCCGCTGCCCAGGCCCAGAGCAGGCTCCAGCTGCTGGGAAGGTGGTATGGACATATGGGCAGGCTCTTCAGGACAGCCTCTGTCCGGCCCAGACGCAGTCCCTGCTGGAGTCCCTGCTGGAGACTCTGGGCAGGAGCCCAGACCAGCCTCTGCAGCTGCAGCTGTAGGAAGCCTGGGTCCAGGAGTGGGCTCTGGACCCCTTCCCTCCCTGGCTGGGCTCAGGGGTGGTGCCTGGTCGGCCTCAGGGCAGGCAGCAGGATGTGCCTCGGGAGCTTCCCCTGCACCTTGGGGTACTTCCCCGGGCCCATGTCCCTGTGCCGGTGGCTCAGGGCCCCCTTCCCTCTGGTTCTCAGCCCCCAGGGCCTCCTTTGGAGCTGAGTGGGGCTCAGCTCCATCACCAGTCTGCACTCGGGCTTCCAGACACGCCTCCCACTCGGGCACAGGAAGGCCTTCGGCTAATTCCTCCCCAGCACCAGAGACAGGCTCGGGAGCATCAGGGACCTCCGTGCCCAAGGTGGGACATGCATCTTCATGTGCGGCTCCAGGGGCCTCTGCTTCTGCAGCTGGCTCTGGGTCATCCTGTTGGACCTGGTCCAAGGCTGGAGGCTCCACGCCTCTAGGGAGGGCTGCATCCTTCTCATCAGGTGCTGGCCTCAGTCCTAGTGCCACACCTACTTCTTCCTGGGCCATGGAGGCCATGGGCTCCGTCTCTGGGGCACAGCCTGCTGCTGCTTGCAGGGCCTGAGGGGTGCCCGCAGCTACAGGCTCCTGGCCTGAGGGGGGGCCTTCATCTGGGAGAGGCAGAGGTGCTGCCATAGCGCAGTCCTGGTGTAAGGGAAGACCTTCTTCAGCCTGCGGGGGCATGGGTGTGGCTGCAGTCACAGGCTTTGGGCCTGAGGGGAGGCCTTCATCTGGGAGAGGCAGAGGTGCTGCCATAGCACAGTCCTGGTGTAAGGGAAGACCTTCTTCAGCCTGCGGGGGCATGGGCGTGGCTGCAGTCACAGGCTTTGGGCCTGAGGGGAGGCCTGGCCCTCCTTCTCCCTTCAAGTTCTGAGGAGGGTCTGGGCACAATGTGAGGCTTGCTTCTTCCTGCGGAGTCGCAGGTGTTTCTGCAGGGACAGGCCCCTGCTGTAAGGCAGCGCTTATGCCCTCCCAGGAGGGCTGAGGCATTGCCCCGGCAGCGGGTGCCTGTCCAGTGGTGGAGTCTGCTTCTTCCTCCCCAGCCTGCGGGGTCACCCTGGTAGCCGCCTCCACCTGGAGGCCTGGGGCTGCCTGCAGAGTGTGAGGGCTCACAGTGGCAGCAGACTCCTGGCCCACGACGAGGCCCTCTTCTGAGGTTTCCAAAATGGACTCCTGGCTTTGGGAGAGATGGGCCTCTTCCCCTGAGACCTGAGGAGCAGCCTCTGGGTCACGGAGTGTGGCCTCCTCCTGAGCCTGCGGCCCCTCGGCCCCACCTCCGCCCTCCTCCTCCTCTGCCTTCTGTGGCCCCTCGGCCCCCCCTCCGCCCTCCTCCTCCTCTGCCTTCTGCGTGCCGTCGGGGGGCAGGGCGGTGGGCTGGGCGTGCGGCTCCCCGCTGTACAGCCTCTCGTCGTCCGCCCCTGCGTAGGAGGTCGAGTCCGAGTCCGAGTCCGAGCAGGCCCCGGAGGTGTCATCTCGAAAGGCAAAGGCTTCGTCCATGCCCTCCATGATGGACAGGTCAGACAGGGACTGCAGGAAGGAGGCGGACGTCGTGTCCTCCTCACCCTCCCCGGCCAGGTCTCCAGCTGGGTCGGGAGCCGCGACCTCCTCCTCCTCTTCTTCCTCCTCTTCTGCAGGCAGTGGCGTCACCTCCACTGCTTCCACCTGGAAGATGAGGCTGCCCTGGAAGGGCAGGAGGGCTGCAGGGATCATTGGGTCATTGGCCAGGAAGTCTAGGTCGAAGAAGTGGCCCTCCTGGCCCCAGGAGGAATCACTGTCTACTGAGAGGCTGGACTCGGAGGATGGGGGCCCCGGGGGCCCGGCGGGGTGCAGCTCTCGTTCGTCCATCACGGACCCCGTAGGGGAGAGGCCCCAGCCCGAGGGGAAGTCCAGCCCTTCAGCGGCGGCCAGCAGGCTGAGGGAACAGGAGGGTGATGAGGCCCAGCTGTCCCCATCAGCCGTGATGTAGGAGCCCGAGGGCGAGGCTGGGGGTGAGTCCAGCAGCTCTTCCAGCAGCTCCGCCTCTGAGTCCCAGGTGTCCCTGTGGGGCCCTCGGCCAGGGAGCAGGCCATAGGTGGTCTTGGTGGGGGTGGAGGGGGGCGTGAAGTAGGAATCGGGGTCTGGGGGAGGGGAAGGCACAGAAGGATCATCCTGAGAACATGACTCGGGGGGCGGGTTCAGGCTTGCTGGCCCACCACCCTCCCAGTCCCTGAGCGCTGGCTGGGCAGCCCTGGGTGACAGGAGGGCCTGGCACGTCTCCTCGCCCATCACAATCCGGGGCTCCAGGGTGCCTGGGAGAGGAGCCTCGGAGGACAGAGCCTGGGGGGGCAGGCCCTCGGGGAGGAGCGCTGGGCTCGGGCCGCCCTCAGCCGGGTCCGCCCAGGCTGAGGGGGCCCCGTGGGGCCCGGCATCCCAGCTGGCCCCCTCGGGCTGGGGCCGGGTGCCCGGCTTGCTGGGCAGGAAGGTGAGGGCCAGGGGGCTGGGCCCTGGGGTCAGGACGGGCTCCCGCCGGTCCCCTCTTGGGATGGTGGCAGCTGCTGCATCGCATGAAAGATCTGTGGAAACAGAGAAGGACATGAGGCGCCCCTGGACGCACCTCAAGGCAGGAGCCAGGCCAGGGGAGGTGGATTGCCGAGGAAAAGGGCTCAGAGGAGAGCCGGCTGAGGAAGGCAGGGAAGAAAGGAGAGGAGGCCGTGCGGGCTCTGTTTGAGGGAGGCATCCCAGGAGTTTTGACAGAGCAGAGAGCAGCTGATGGTGGCTTTGTGGAGAGCTTTGAGGGGAGTGTTGCTGGGTGTTATAAACGGACTTGCCCGGCAGCTTTTCTCAGGGCACTTCAGCAAAGATGCAGCTAACATTTCTGTGTCTTTTCAGAGACTGGCTTGCTGTTTCTTTCCACACAGTCAGTGCGGTGCAACTGGGCTTGGCAGGACAGGCGGTGATCAGAATCTGACCTCCCGCTAGACAAACGCGTGAGGCAGGCAGGGGCTCACACGACGCACAGCTCTGGAACATTCCGGGGCTCACCCTGCTGTGAGGTGGAGGTCTCGCCTCTCTGGCTCATCTCTCCTATCCTTGCTGCCTATACTTAAGGCCACCCTGTCAGGGTCTCACCAAGGCTCTACCCCGACCCTGCTCCCCTCCCCACTCCCCGTGGCCAGAGAAAAGGGGAAGCCAGGGGTCACCGCACGCGGCCAAGTTTCTGGAGAGCAGAGAAGTGTCCACCGAGGCTGAGTTGGAGCATCCAGCCAGAAGGGCGGTGGTGGGCAGGGATGGTGACCATGGAGACCGGTGAGAGCACAGGACAGCTGTGCAAGAGCCAGTGGGAGCCTCTGGCGGAGTCTTCTCCACAGTGGCAGCCACCCCATGGTGAGCGCAAGATCCCTTCCCAGGGCTGGGAGCGCCCATCCTGCCCTGTGGCCCATCTCTGGGTCCTGGTGCACCCCCACCCAGACCGCAGGCAAGACCTCACCATCAGGCCACAGTGCTCAGTCACTCTGGGCAAATACCTCCAGCTGAGAAATGATTCCGCACGCACCAGGAGGCAACATGCATGGGTCAGAAAGGACTTAGGGAACTCAAGGAGGTGGAAGAAAACCCCTCTGAAGCTGCAGCACACCACACCACTATGGTTTTCTGCCTCCTGGTCTCTTACTGGCCTGCGTTTTATCACAGTGAGACCACACTACACAGTTTTGAATCTACTTGTTTTCACCCAGCATAATCTCCTAAGTGTTTTTCTGTGTGCTTCAAGTGCTCACAAGCCTCACTTTTAATGTCTCTATGACATCCCCTCCCTCACCTGGACCAAGGCCAAGAATATCTCTGGCTGAAGCATTGGACTAAGGCCCTCCTCCCTCCAGAGCCCAAGCCAAGTTCTGCTGGAGCAGCAGGGAGGGGCAGTGCACAGGGGCTAGTTCTCCGGGCTGCAGATGCCTGCCTGGTGATTCCTGCTCTACCATACTCACTAGTGACAAGGAAAACATCTCCTACACCTCAGCTTTCTCGTCTACAAAGTAGAGCCAGGAGTAGAGGTAAAGCCCCCTTGCCAGGCTGCCTCATCTGCCCTCAGCAGCATCAGAGTCTGGGGCCCTCGGCCACCAGCTGGGACTTTTCACTCAAGGGTTTTGCTGCTGGGGTGCTAGGGCACCCTGAGAGAAGGAGGTCCTTTGGGTCTGTGAATGCCTGATACCCAGCACCAGCAGTGGGTGTGGCTCTGAGGCATCACTGGGTGCCCTGAGGGTTCTTGGCTCTGGCCCCAGGCATGGCCCCCAGGGCAGGGGAATGGCAGAGCTGGGCCAAGGTCAGAATGGAAGGGAACCAAAGGCTAAAGGATTCTGTAACTCATTCAAGGTCACCAAGCAAGCCAGAGCAGAGCCAGCACAGGGCCCTGGGGCTGGGGAGTCCCGGCCTGTACTGCCTGCTTCCCACTCAGAGTGGAGCCAGCAGCCTGTGTCACCTCAGTCAGGCCCCAGGACCCAGCACTGGTCCCATTGCCAGGTGACTTCTCGCCCACAGCAAGGTGCCCTTGGCCCTACCCAAACCACACATGGCCGGGCTCTATGGCAGGGCCATCCAGGCTCTGATTGTCCCCAGGCCCAGGTGGTCCCATCAACCTCTCTAAGGACCACCAGGGCCACTGCTAACCAGGCCACCTCCCCCAAGGCCTGCCACCTCCCAGACTCAAATCTGCCCTTTTCCTGACAAATTGGTCCTGCCTCTGGGCTTCCCCAGGCTCCAGCCAGTCCTGCTCCTCCCTCCAGAACCATGACCAGTCCTGGCCCTGGATAGCTTGGGGTGCAGTGGAGGACATTCCTGGTGGGCACCTCCAGAGACCCGCTGCCCCCCACTCCCCCAACCCACCGCCTTTGGTCCAGAGCAGCCCAGCCCCGCCAGGCCTGCAGCCTGGTGCAATGGGGAGCAGCAGGGCGGGACGCAAGCCCCCATGTCGCTTCTGGCTTGCAGAGGGTACTCCCTGCGCCCCCGACCCTTACCTGCGATGTTGGCGAGGGGGAGGGCAGGGTTCATGTGGAGGGAAGGGCAAAGGCGGAAAGAGCCCGAGAGGGGACAGCCAGATGGGCGAGAAGGATGGGAAAGAGAGAGGGGCCGGCTAAAGGAGACGGAGGGAGCGAGAACCCGGGCTGGAGAGGGGAGCGGCCGGAGGGAGGGGAAGAACCGGCGTGACCTCACCTGTGCGGGGCCCGGGTCCGCCCGCCTCAGGCAACAGCAGCTCGGCACGGGCAGCCTCCCCGGGCATGGCCTGGCCGTGCGCCCGCCAGTCCCTCGCTCCCTCAGTCCCTCTGTCTGTCGGTGCCGCCGCCCCGCCGAGCTTGCGCGGCCACCGCCCCTCGACCAGGCGGTGGGGGGAGTGGATGACGTCAGCGCCGCCCCGCCCGCCCGGCACCCCCAGTGAGCGTGCGCGGCGCGCGGGGCACTGCGGAGCGCGTGGGGGGGCTCCCTCCCCGCCCTCACCCCGCCCTGCCGTGGCCTCCCTCTCGCGGTGCGCGGGTCCGAGGGGGCGAGAGGGACGCCTGCGCCCGGCCCCGCCTTTCCCGAGCTTTCCACCCCTTTATGGGGGAGGGATTCGGGGCCAGCTGGAGGCCGGGCACCCCCTGGGGTAGCGTCAACCCTTAGCTGGGAAGAGGCGGGGGTGTCCCCAGAACCTGGAGTGCGGAGGCCTGGGAAGGTGGTTGGGGATCCTGGGGACGGGGGCTGGGAGCGCTTCCGGGGGAGGTGGCCGCAAAGCCTCTCCGGCCCCCGCGGGCCCCCCCAACCCCGCCTCACTCCATCTCCCCCGCCAGCCCCCTGCCGCCACCACCACCGGCTGACTGGGAAGAGGGCGCTGGGCCAGGGGAGGGGAGGGGGCCCCGCCCAGCCCAATGCCTCCATCCAAAAGGTGAGCTGGAGCTGCAGCTCCAGCGTGATTGGTTGATCATTGCAGTCGTCGGTCTCCGTGGCAACCGCCTCCTGTCTCCATGGCAACCTGAGATGGAGCCGGGGAGAGCGTAGCAGGGGAGGCGCCCAAGATGGTCTCCAGGTCTCTCCGAAACTTGGTGATCTGACCCCCCCTTGCCCCCAGTTCTCTAGGCAGTGGAATAAAAAGGGAAGAAATGCGCCTCCGTCCATTCCTGTCAGCCCCCTCCGCCACATCTCCCAGGAGGAAGGGCAGCCCTTGGCCTTCCTAAAATGTGCTCTTGCTTACACACAGGCTGGCGTATCACCCAGCGTCACTGAGCACTGCCCTCCCGTGCCAGGCACCGGGAGACGGATGAATGAGACATTGTCATCACCCCTGAGTGGGGAATCAGAGCAGCCATTGTCACAGGCACGGAGGGAGCCTTCAACATCCTCAGTCTTCTGCTGGTTCCAACTTCGAACTCATGAAGCCAGGGGCTGCCCTCTGACTCCCTCTAAACCTGCCCCAAGGTTCAGCACCACGTACCTGGCTGCCTGCTGGGCATCTCTCCCCACTGGACCCCAGGCACCAGATCCACCGCATCAGTAGAATTAACATCAATTTTAAACAATCTCTTCCAGAAAACAGAAGAGGAGGGGACAGTTCCTAACTCATTTTATGAGACAAGAAATATCCTGATGCCAAAACCAAACAAAGTACCAAAACCAAAAACACTCCGCCACCACAAAACCCTAAAGAACAAAACAAAAACTACAGACCAGTATCTCTCATGAATATAGGCACAAAAATTTTCAATAAAATATTGGCGAATCAAATCCAGCAATGTATAAAAAGACTTGTACACTATGACCAAGTGGAATTTATTCCAGGTATGCAAGGCTAGTTCAACACTTGAAAATCAATGAGCATAATTCACAACACCAACAGGTTAAAAGAGAAAACTGTATGATAATACCAATTGACACAGAAAAAGCATTTAACATACCCAATATCATTCATTATAAAAAAAATTTAGCAAGTTAAAGTTGATAAAGATCACATACAAAAAACTTACAGCTAGCATCATACTTAATGGTGAAAGACTAAACGTTTTTGAAGATTGGGAACAAGGCAAGGGTATCTGCTCTCATCGGTCTTTTCAACATATTAATATTACTGGAATTTCTAACCCCTACAATAGGCAAAAAAAAAAAAAGAAATAAAAGGCACATTGACTTGTAGAATGAAAGCGTGAGGAGTTCTGCTGACCACCTCCCCAGTGAAACTGGTAAAAATTATTATTTTTTTAAATTAAAGCTTCAGCCAGGTGTGGCAGCTCACACCTGTAATCCCAGCACTTTGGGAGGTCAGGAGTTCAAGACCAGCCTGGGCATCAAAGCAAGACCCTGTCTCTACAAAAAATAATATTAAAAATTATTTAAAAATTTAAAAATAAGCATTCTGGTGAAGGTCCAAAGGGCAAACAGAAAAAGAAACATCTATTCATGAAAATCTAGGAAAATTTAGTAAGAACGGCAAGAATCCAAGTATTTGAACCAAGAGTGCTTACCCCTAGCCAAGGGAGGTGGACTCCACACGAGAATGGTGCAGACGGGGTTCCCTCTTCCCCCAGATCCCAGCCAGAGGGCTTCCTTCCTGGGAGGAGAGGAGGATTTCAGTGTTTCTCATCCTGCTCCCACATACCTGTTGCTGAAGCTAAGTCCTGGGTGAGTGTGGTTGAGAGGTGGGAGCTCCCTTTTTCCACATGGCCTCCACTTATGGAAGGGAGGCTCTACCTTGGGCATGGCATGCTGAGTATATTGGAACCCTGACAGCCCCCTCCCAGCTTATGAGGTCGTAGTTCCAATGTCAAGAGAGACTGCTGCCTCCCCTTCACTGAGTGCTTAGCTCCTAGAATGGGGGTGTTACTCAGAAGCTGCCATTGAGCTCAGAGATTTTGCCTGGGGAGGAGAAGCAGGTTTTAAAAGATAGCCCCTGATCTCTTTCTAGAGGAACTGACTTCACTTGACAACAGAGTACGGGGAAGTTTAAACCTAAGGGTACTCTCAAGAACAGTGGAGGTTATGGTGAAAGGCAATTGGAAGGAAATTTGTGGATCTAATGAAGATGCAGCCTAGACTATAGGTTGGCTAGTTTGCAGGAGAAAACTGGGGAATAAGACAGCTGCAGGAGCCCTCTTGGGATTAGAGAAAACGTCAATCTCTAATACTGACCTCAAAAACTATTCTATCCAAGGGGCCACAATTTGGATTAGTTTGTAGAGGAATTTATGGCCCAGGGCACTGTTGAAAACAATAGAGCAATCGGTGAAGTTTAGCAGTGGCACTTAATGGAGTTTAACAGCTGGGCATCAGGGAAAGAGAGTAAGAGAGCCCTACTGGTACCACTGTCATTCCAGGGTAACTGTGGTCATACCCATAGCTGCACCTTTCTGAGAAGGAACATCAGAAGCTTAACACTGGGCAGGATGGGGAAAGGGGTAGACTTCACTGAAATAATCCAGCTAGACACTTAGACAAATACACAAACAAATAGCAATAACAAGCCCCAGAAGGGAGCAGGGCCAGACCAGTACCCGGAGTTGCTACAATGTTATTAAAATATCCACTTTCCAACAAAAAATTACCAGACACACAAAGAAACAGTAAAGTATGACCTGTACTCCAGGGGAAAAAAAAGCAGACAATGGAAACGGTTTGTGAGAGCAACCAGATGTTGATTTAACAGAAAAATATTTAAAAATAGCCACTATAGATATGTTCACAGAACTAAAGGAAACCATGATTACAGAAGTAAAATAAGGTATATGATGATACTGCATCAAATAGAGAATATCAATAGAGATAGAAATTATAAAAATAACCAATGGAAATTATGGATTTGAAAAGTACAATATATGAAATAAAAAATTCACTAGAGGGGCTGAACTGTAGATTTCAATGGACAGAAGAAAGAATTAGTGAACTTGAAGATAGATTGATAGAAATTATAAAAACTGAAGAACAGAGAGAAAAAAGAAAAATAAACAGAGACTCAGAGAATGTGAACACCATTAAGCACAATGAGAATACCAGAAGGAGAGTAAAAAGAAAAAGAATGGAGAAGAAAAATATTTGAAGCAGTAATGGAAGAAAACTTCCCCAATTTACTGAAAAACATATCCAGGAAGCTCAGTGAACTCAAAGAGCATATATGAAAATAGATCCACACATTATAATAATAAGTTAATTCAGCAAGGTTGCAGGATTTAAGGTCAATATACAAAAATAAATTATTTTTCTATAAATTTGCAATGAGAAATCTAAAATTGAAATTAAGGAAACAATTCCATTCAAAATGGCATTAGAAAGAATAAAATACTTAGGAATAAATTTAACAAAAATAGTTCAAACCTTATACTCTGGAAAGTCCAAAATATTGTTGAAGGAAATTAAGGAATATCTCAATAAATGGGAAAGCATCCCATGTTTATGGATCAGAAGATTTAACATTGTTAAGTTGGTAGCAATTCCCAAGATCTAAAGATTCAACACAATCCCTATCAGAATCCCAACTAACTTCTTTGTAGAAATTGATGAGCTGATTCTAAAATTCACATGGAATTTCAAAGGACCCAGAATAGCCAAAACAATCCTGAATAAAGAATACTTCTCGATTTCAATACCTTCTGTCATACAAAACAGAGACAGTGTGCTACTGGCAAAAGGACACACACACACACAAACACACACACACACACACACACACACACACACATACACATCAAGGGAATAGAACTGAGAGCCCAAAAATAAACACATATTAAATACATCTATGGTCAATGGATTTTTGACAAGGGTGTTAAGACCATTCAATGGGGGAAAGAATAGTCGTTTCAACAATGGTTCTGGGACAACTGGATCGTCATATGCAAAAGAATAAAGATGACACTTTTTGCTGAAATTTAATTGCCACTGTAACAGTATTAAGAGGTGGGGCCCTATTATCCTAAGTGAAGTGACTCAGGAACAGAAAAATAAATGCCGCATGTTCTCACTTACAAGTGGGAGCTAAACTGTGAATATGCACGGACACACAGAGTGGTATAATGGACATTGGAAGACTCAAAAGAGGGGAGGGTGGGGTGTGAAAGATGAAAAATTACTTATGGGGTACAATGTACACTACACTGCTTGGGTGATGAGTATGCCAAAAGCCCAGACTCTACCACCACACAATATATACATGTAATGGAATTCAACTTATATCACCTAAATCTGTTAAAACAAAATTTTAAAAAATTGTTTAAAAACAGTGGTGAGGGCCTGGCGTGGTGGATCACACCTGTAATTCTAGCTCCC